TTTCCTTTTTGTGAGAAATACATGTCCAGGAACCCCATGATCCAAGTTCATCATACACTATTGTCTCTATCTTTACACATTTTCAATTCAAAGTCAATTTTTCATTTTTTTTGGAATCTTAAGCATTACAATTCTTCTCAGAAACAGAATTGCAATGTCACTATCATGTTTTCAACAAAACTAAAGATGATTAAGAAATGGCAGGGTGCCGGTAAGGGCATGCAACTTTAATTCCAGTTTTATGATCTGTCTAATTCATCTTTATTATAACTTTAATTCCAGTTTTATGATCAGTCTAATTCATCTATTTTTTATTATTATTAAAGCAAACTACATATTAAGCAAGAACCCAAAAAAATGGAAATAAAAAAACAATTAAATCGTATTAATTTTGAATGTTAACAAAGGGCTGGGTGTTTACAAGAAAGTGCTCTCCAAAGCAACTATATATGGTAAAAATAAAACAAGTGAACAGTTAATTTTATGGTTATTTTTCTGAAAAAAAAAACTTAATTGCTTCAGAAATTTAACAATATTTCAACTTCCTAATAATATCAGTCCGGATTTCCTACTAACTTCCCTCTACTCCCCTCTCTACTAACCCATTAAAATTATTCCAGCTGTACTAAGTCCTATCTAGTGTAACGATTGACTAATGCCTTAATTAATTCCTCCCTTAGATACTATTTTAAAGAAATACCTATTTTTATGTATTAATTAAATATTTCTAAAAATAAAAATGTAATAATTTTAGGTGGTCTGTAACTAGGGGTGCTCGCGATTTGGTTGTGGGCTTTTTTGTGAACCGAATCAGTAGTACCAGTTTCTGGAAAATCGGTAACCGGAACCAAACCGAAACCAGTTCGTTGATCGGTTTAGTTCATCGACTTTTTTTATTTTATAATATTTATTACAAAAATATATAAAATATTATATTTTAAATAATAAATAATATATTATAAATATATATTTATATATAATACATATTTATTAATTTATAATATATATATATATATATAATATACATAAATATATAAAAAATATATAGAAAAACATGTATAGCGATTGCTTTGATTAACCGCCGGTTTTTTAAATTGGTTAACCAAAACCAAACCAGCACCTTTGGTTTTTTAAAAACACCAAACCGACCGATTCAGTTAACCAATTTTTTTGGTTCGGTTTTGGTCGGCTTTTTAGTCAGTTTGGTTTTTCAGTTTTTTTTTTCTCACCCCTATCTGTAAATYTTTCTCCATGCATGAATTTTCTTTACTAGGCTTAGAAAATAAATAAAAATAAAAATATCTATTTTAATTACATGCAAATTTTCCATACTCTCTTTAATTTTATGCAAATTAATTCTCTAAGCCTAATAAAGCAAATTCATGCATCAGAAAAAGAGTTACAAACCACCCAAAATTATTATATTTTTATTTTTAAAAATATTTAATTAATGCATAAAAATAGGTATTTCTTTAAAATAGTATTTAACGAGGGATTAATTAAGGCATTAGTCAATTAAGTTGAGTGGACTTGTGGAAATAAATAGTAGCCATTCATTTGAGATATAGGGTCGTAAACAGTACCATGCCAACTAACTTAATTGTTTTATTTGGAAGAGGAATTGTACAATAAGAGAATCCTCATCATAACTACAATAGGTGTTGCTGGAAAGAGATCAACTACCTAAAAAAGTCGAGATAATTTTCAGTCATTTGATTTGTAAAATGATCCTCTTTTTGGAATTATAATAATTGCTTTTCAACTATTAGATAGAATCTAACTATATATATTTAATTGGCATCAGTTGGTCTAGTTTTGGACCCATATATATGATTGTAAAACATCAGAGAAGACTAAGTAGGTGTTTGGCATTGGTGCTGGGAATATCGTATTATTTTTTGAGAAAAACAGTGTTAGGTATGTAGAGTTGTAAAAACTGTTTTTTTTTTTTTATTTTTATTTTTTTTGAGAAAACAGCACTGATTTTGTTTGATATCAGTGCATTGATTCCATATATGCAACACCCAAGATGATGCCATATTGATTCCACAACATTACATCATTGGCAGCAACACACCGTTTTCCCAGAAAATATCAAATTTGGCATTGTTCTAAACCACAGTTTCCCGATTTTGAAAACATGATCCGGAGCAACGCTTTTCTAAAAAACGATATCAAACAAGAAGACATTACTTTCAGCAACATTTTTTCTGATGTAATATTTACATAACACCATTTTTTTTCAGAAAACGGCACCAATACCAAACACCGCCTTAAATAGAATGCATTGATCTAAGCATATATGGGAGTCGTTACTTGATATTTATAGACTATAAGAAGTGTAGGCCCTGGTTTTTATTACCTTAAATTCTCAGCACGCACATGGCTACTTCGATAGGCACAACATCAATGTTAAGACGAGGGAGCCCCTCCCCCTCATTGCAGCCGGCCGGCTTCCATTGGACGGTTTGTATTTTAATATTCGATCTGTTAGAAATTAATTACATCATCATAAAGAATAGTTTATGCCAGAGAAGGCTGAAAGTTAATTATGGTGCCTTTTGTGTTTCTCTTGTCCCCAACATTGCTTAGTGGGTTATGATATGTCCTCTTCTGATTTATATATATTTATTCATTGGACATATCTGTCTTTTCCATAAAAAAAGAGAAAAAGAAGGTGAGATGATGGATGAAGAAATTAATTAGAAATGGCTCCTGACTTTTTAGGCATGAGGCCCCAAGACGGACCGGCTACCAAACAGCAGTGATGTTGTTGTCCTGAAGTTGATTTTGTTGGTAGCTGTTAAATTGGACAGAAAGAAAGGAAAAAGAAGGGGGGAAATTAAAATAGAAAAAAGGAAAAGTGATATATCTTAGATGAAGGAGTTTAATTATAAGACTACTTTAGACTATATTTTATGTATGGGCCTAAAAAACACAAGAAAGACCGATTACCCAGCAGCTAGACTAGATTAGACTAGACATCTTTCCCATTTTCATGAAAGAGAAAAGAAAGGGGGAGATGGATGTGACTTAATTGGCATTAATTAATGGGAGAGTGACGAATCAGTCCACATCAGGGGGGGAGGGGCTGGAATTTAGAATTCTGCATAGGATGTATCCGTACTTCACGACAATTAATTTTATTCTACCATCAAATTAACTGTGAGGTATCCCAACGTTATGGGAATGGGATTCTTATTTGTTCTAAGGACTATATATATATATATATATATATATATACACCTGGAGGAGATCTCTATACTTAAAACATATTAATGTACACGTATACATATATGATTCCATTTTTTCAGTGTATCGATGGATTTGGTTTTGATTAACTTTAGTGGTTGCCCAATTATGTCAAGTTAATGAAGGAAAAGTTTTTCAAACACCAATATGCTATGCCTTTGGCCTTAAGAATCATGTCCACACGCAGAAAAGTAGAGTAGGTGCTTTGTTGTTTAGTAAGCAGTATTTATTATACAAATACAAATAATACAAAAGATTGGATCTTACGGTCAATGCTTAAAATTAATATGGTCCATGGCCTTATCCCTGGCCATGGATATTAATTCCACATTGATTTGGAGGTTTAGACCCATCATATATATATATATATATTTATTTATTTAAATTGACATGCCAGAAATCAGTCTGCGACATGGTTAATTAATTAATTAGGAGCATTGTCGTTTTCAATTCTTACTGCATGTATGTATCAACTGGTAAATATATATTAAACCTCACGATCGATCAGAGGGAAGGCATATATAGATCAGATGGTTGCCGATGAAGGCCGCTTTCTGATTCTGGTTCTTTTGTTTTTGATCTTGCGCTGATTATTCTAGAGCAGACACCCTTCTAATTGTTAACCATTAGACGTTAATTAGTATTATTATCTTGGTAATAAGGGACTTGTACGAGTTATTTATTCTGGAAATTAAGGGAGGTCGCTTGCAATTTGGAACGTGCCACCAAAAGGTGACAAAGTTGATAGAAGGAGGCGTTGAAGTTTTACATCGGGCTCGTTGGTGCAGGTACTTTCCTCAGTTTCAAATCAAACCCAGAAAGCAGAGAAGGAGAAGAAGAAGAAGAAATAAATATATTGGATGGGTCGCCATCTAACGTAACGGAACGTTTTTGTCTTTTCTTCTCCAGGATTCAGGCTGGGTCCATCAAGATTAAAAAGAAAAAAAAAAAAGCAGTAACATGCACCCATGATCTGATAGATGCAAACGCTCTCTCCTTTATCAGTGGATACAGACCATGAGAACCTTCTCAAGTTTATCGTTTATTGGTCGGAAATTGATATTAATCAGAAGAACTTCATTAAATTTTTGTTGCCTGGGCTGGATTAATTGCAGGCAAGTCGACATGTTATCTTTTCCCTAATTTTTTTATTTTATTTGAGTGAAAGGAGTTATACTGCTCAAGCTTTAAAATCTCTAACTCTTATCAGTTTATATCACAGAAAGACTGAACTATCTCATCTGGTTTAGTTGTCAACCTCACTTAACTTTTATACTACGTTACCTTCATTTGATTTTTAGGCTCAGTTTGGAAGGAGTACAAATACAAATTTTTTAAAAGTAGAAAACCTTGTATTTGTATTTATACTCTTACCAAAGTGACCCTTAATTAGTTCATAAAGTGCTGCTCAGTACAAGCTTTAATTCTACATTTCCATTGAGAGAAAATAGATGGATTGTTCTATATCCTGATAGTCTGTGAGTGCTTGTGTTAAATATAACTCTGTTTTTTATTATTTCTTGCCTCTGGACCGTCCAATTAAAAGTTTAAGAAGATATAAAGATGTTATCATCAGCTAGCTAGTATTGCAGCAATAGCATCATGTCATCAATTGGTCAGCTGGATATCTCGACGATAGGACTGTAGAAAACTTGTAGGCCCACCACCTTGCATGTGTGCCGACTTTATACCAGTATATGGCACTCCATAAGACTCCAAACGACCCATTAAAAGCCAGAGAAGTCCCACAGAGAGCTTTTGCAGCTTTAGCCCCAAACTTCATTGGGTCATCATGGTACACCAGCCTCATTAAATTTGCAACCACTGTACCCTCATTTCATGACATCCATCCCCACCACTTGTTCACAGTTTGGAGACTTCTTGCTTGGGCGACAGCTGCTAGCTACAAACTTTCTTTCTTCCAATATGGTTTAATTTTTAACAATTTCCATTGATGATCTTCTCCTGCCATTGTCTGCACTTCTGGTGTTGAGGAATAGAGATGGGTCGTCATTCGTGCTGCAGTAAACAGAAGGTAAGGAGGGGACTGTGGTCACCTGAGGAAGATGAGAAACTGATCAACTACATTTCCACCCATGGCCATGGTTGTTGGAGCTCAGTGCCAAGACTTGCCGGTAAAATTGGAGTTCAATTCCAACTTAATTATATTAATACTTGTATAGATCTGTGGAGCTGCTCTCTAGCTATCTCATTTTACTTATAAGTAGTACTGATGACAATTTCATTTAAATGCATTAGATTCATCTTAAATTCTTAATTTGCTTCTCCGTTTCTCMTGTTTTGCTCTGTTAGAAAGCTCTTTCAAACTCACTCATAATTAAGAAACAAATGAACATTAATTTGAGCTTTATTTCATGGTCCAGGCCTGCAAAGATGTGGAAAAAGTTGCAGGTTAAGATGGATTAATTACCTCAGACCAGACTTGAAACGTGGGAGCTTCTCACCCGAAGAAGCATCTCTTATCATCCAGCTCCATAGAATTCTAGGAAACAGGTAATTTACCATCACAAATATCATCGTCTGTCAATATCGGTATTTAATTATCAAATCGATCGAGTTCACAACTTTTTAATTACGAGAGAGATTGTCTTTTACAGATGGGCTCAGATTGCCAAGCACCTACCGGGGAGAACAGATAACGAAGTGAAGAACTTTTGGAATTCAAGCATAAAGAAGAAGCTAATAATGTCTAGTGATAGTGTTTCAGACCTGACCACTCTACCTGATGTCTGTAACCCAGTTGGTTTTGGCGAAGGTTTGTTGACTGTAAAAGCAAACCCCAACATAATTATTGGTGACCAACAACAACATATGCCACAAGGTATTAACCATGACGATTTCGAGCCGGATATGATCGACCAAGATGTCAACTACTGGGTTAGCGCGTCGCCGGCGGCGTCACTTCCGCTGCAGTCAGAGACGAACTCCGTTAACCCAATATGGCGCTCTGATTATGACCAGACTAACCATCATCATGGTCATCAATCCGATTCACCGAAGGATCTCAACGACATGAAGTTCACCACAACGGTTTACGATGAACTGCTGCTGGGGTCGTCTGTAATGCCAAAGCTATGCGAGATTCTCGACATGGATAAATGCGGCATGACATCTTCTTCTGCTTCACATGAAGGCGACCCAGCAAGTAATATGATTCCTCCTTGTACACAACTACAGTCTTATCCATATAATCTTCGTCACATGGCCACCAATCCAATTGGGTGCACTGATGCCACCATGCCAGCATTATCGTTTTCCTCCTCATCATTATCATCATCACTGTCATGTGGTGCTATGAACCCTAATCTGCCACCTAACTGGGTTCAATTACTTCAATAGGCTTGGCTTCACGGTTGTGTGAATGCATGGGTCCATTAATTCAAAATATTTAAAGAAGGTGCGTCACATGGGAAGTACTAAATATAGCTACTGGTATAGTTTCCTTGTAGCAATACTTAGGTTTTTTTTTTTTTTACGGTTTCATCTTTCATCCAAAAAAAAAAATTGCAATAAAAAGGTTCAATTTCACATGTCTGCAACCATGTTTGTGTATGTTATAAATAAGTTCTTCTCAGTTTAATTAATTACTTACTTCTACAAGTGGATGTCATCATTAATTTCTTCATAAACCTCTGCAACATTTCCAAGCACTTATGATTCCTCTCTCCTTCATTAATGTGCATTTACATTGTCAGAGACTCAGAAGTTTGCTGATCAGTAAGCTTTTCTTTTCTCCTTATTAAATGGAATTATTTCAATTATCTTCAACCTCTTAATCCAAAGTCCAAAGCATCTCTAGTATGCATGAAAATGTGACCTACAACCCAGACGATATAGAAAATAAGCATTCCTTCAAGCAACTCAGGAGGCCTCTACTTGGAATTGCAATAGTACAATGGTAGTATGAAGAGGCTAGCTGGGTATTTCTTTTTCTCTGGGTTGAATCCCAAAGGGATAGAAAAGAAATTGCAAATATGACTTATGTTAAGGAGCAAGGGCTCTCAAAGAACTACTTTGACATGAAAGAAAAAAAAAGGACATAAAACCCTAAAACTTTGTAGAAGTTTAGCAATGTTTGGCAAGTCTTTTTGTATGGTCGTTTGGGCTTCGACAAGCTCGAAAAATCAATTTTTTTTTTTTATTTGGTAACTAAAATCTGGTAAAACCAGAAGAAGCATGTGCAGAAAGACCTGATGAAATGATAAAAGAAAAATGTCAAATTTCGAGAATCTTTACATGAAGTTTTCAAATGTGTTTTTAAAAACCCTATAGACTGAATCACTTGCCAAACAGTTTTTATCTTTAAAAACAAGACTCCAAAAATTCAATACCTCTTTTGATCATCTAGTCTGTTGGAAGATTTTTTCTAAAAACATAAAAAAAAAGAAAAAATTGCAAAACGCGCGGCATGCACTAGATCTTAAGTCTGTTTAATTTTGTTAAACTTGAGCGGCCAAAGGAGTAGTGTTTATAACAACTAAGTCCATGGACATGGTGTGATGGGGTGGGCGGTACAAAAGGCTAATTGCTATGTCTGCTGCACGTGGATTGCTTTTTCAGCTGCACAAAAGAAGGTTTGGCTCCTTAAAGGAAGACATATAGGACGATCTATGCCATTTCGTAACCAACATTATAGAAAAGGGCTTAGAGGAAGGACAGGTCACTTTGGACGTGGAAGCTGAAACCGTTGCCCAGCCCAGAGGTTTTCGTTCCCAACAGCTTTACAGTTTGCACTTTACACACTTGAGGGATCTAAAAGTAATGGAGCGTTTCCAGAAGTAGTTTGCAAAAATCGAAATTTCGTGGGCTCCTTGTTATTGGCATAAATCTAGTACATTAGTGGCCAAATTGGGCCTCGCCCAAGAAAAACCTCTTGCCTCTTGGACACGCGTTTTCCTTTCTTAGCAAGGTTTTAAAACCGTGGTTGTTGATCCGGATGATCAAAGCATCTATCTGATCCCGGCGGTCGAAGAAATAATAAAATGATAGTTTTGTCCTAAAACAGTAAAATTATAATTATTCCATGACTAGGGATGCAACTTGGACGGGCCCAGCCCGAGCCCGAGCCCGCACCGATTAGTTGGGCTTGGATTTTCGGTCCTCGGGCTGGGCTCAGGCCTAAGAAGTTGTTTTTTTTTTATTTTTTTGGCTGGGCCTGGGCTTAATCCTTACGTAGTCCTAGCCCGGCCCAACTATTTTTCTCTCTCTCTCTCATTATATATAAGGGCAGAGCTAGAAATTTTTCATGAGGAGGGATAAAACCTAAAATAGATTTGTGTGTGTGTGTGTGTGGGGGGGGGGGGGGGGGGGGGGGGGGGTTGACCTCGGGCTCGAGCCTTAAGCCCAAATTTTAGGGTCGGGTTCAGGTTAACCATAAACCTTGTCCAACCCGCCCGACTTGCACCCGTATCCATGACTTCGATCTAGTGTTTCTTTCAAGTCTCAATTGGACTATTGAGTCTAGACTGGAGTATGCAACTTGGGCCATAGTTGGTTTGCTGCTCAAGTCCTCATTCTTTTAATTCTTGTTCATACTGAACAAGAATGGGCAAAAATGAATAACATTAGAGAATTTGGTTACAAAATTCTTGCCATGAACCTCATTCTTTTTAGAATGAAAAATGAGCTTATAGCACAAAAATTGAGGTAACCTGTAGCATAAAAAATAATCATGCTCCACCTCGCTCATTTTCATTCTTTAAAGAAACTCTATGCTAGCAAAACTGTCACCATAGATGTTTACGAGTGGACTGCCATTGGAAACTTATGCCGACGGACGTTGACTGTTGGCTATCCCCTGGTAAACATCTATACTGGCAATTTTAGAGACCGAGGCTGGCAGTTTATGACCATCTGTACGGATTTTTTTCTGAAGAATGAAAATGAGCAACATAGGGCACTTGTCAGTCTAAAAAAATCATTTTTTAGGAAAGAAAGGATTTGGTTCATAGCAATATTTTCTCATATGCCCATTTTTACCCTTTCTTGTTCATTTTAAAATTTCATCTTGGGTAAGAATGAGAGTTGAACCAAACATGGACCTACCATTGGTGATCACCAAATCTACCACTTGCAAACTTGCAGCAACAACCACACTAACAGCAAGCAGATGCAGCAGTGGTGGCACCACTTGCAGCAGCCACCAACAACAGCAGTGATGGCACCACCTGCAAGGGCGACTACCACTTGCAGTGGCATGTCTCTTCTTCTTCTTCTTTTCTCAGCCAGTTTTCACTATCTCCACTCTAGGAAATAACAATACAATGTACATTCTTGTATAAAATGACAAATACTAATTTAACAAATAGGATTATAGATTGAATATAACCATCATCACCCCGTTCAGATTAGACAGTTGACCACTAACCTAGGATTTAAAAGTGGTTTCGTTTCTGAGTCAATTTTTAAAATATTGTTTCTGAGTTATTTTCACATTCATGAACTTGGGAAACTATCAAAAAACCTCCCTCTTCCTTTGTTTATTATGTTTAAGGGTCTGTTTAATTAGGAGCGAGGATTTAGCTACGTTGAAGCATTCAAGATAAGCTATTGAAAGAGGTTGAAGTAGACAGTGACTAACTGATAGCCAATTTGAGCTCTCTAAATTTTTCACCAAACATAGCTTATATGCTGTCTGTGGTGCCCACCATGGAAAGCTAGAAGCTGCTACATTTCAGCCATCTCCAAAAGGAACCTAGATATGTTGCTTGCACAGTTGTGTTTCACTTACTACGTAACTCTGACTTTAAATCTCCAAGGAACTTTCTGTCATATATCTATATCTATATATATAAAGTGGATATTTAACTCAATAAATTATACAAGTTGAATCTACATACTATATGCATCATATACGATTAATATTTACTTCACACGTGCAGAGTAATTATTTTTACACAAATTCTAATAAATTGCAAGCAAAAAAATTTCAAAATTAGTACTCTATCCATCAAACTTAGCGTCTGTTTGGAACCGTTGCTGCTGCTCCAGAAAACGGCGCCACATCAGTGTCATGTAGGAAAAAACGGTGCTCTAGGAAACAGTGGTCTGTTTGGAACCATTTTTCATAGAAAACGGCGCTCCAAGCCATGCCTTGGAAATTAGGAAGGCATGGTTTGGAGCAATGCCAAATTTGGCGTTTCCTCGAGCTGCAGCTCATTACTGCCAACAGGACAGTGATGTGGCAGTGAATAATGGGTAGAAGTGCAGAAAACATTTTTTGGAGTATTGGTAACAAACAGAAAAAAATGTTGCTGCTCCAGGAAACATCCTACCTGGCAGCACGATTCTAAACCAAAAAAAGGTATTGTTTTTTGAGAAAACAGTGCTCCAAGCCACACATCAGAAAACGGTGCTACAACTGCAGTATTGATGCCAAACATATACATAGTTTATCATTCAAACATGTGTGTTATTTTGTCAAAAAAAGTAAGTGTATTATAATATATTCAAAATACTGTTAAATACTGGCTGTTCTATGAATGAACAAAATGCCACTGACTTACACATGAGGGAATGTTCGGTTGAAGTAACAAATTGTTCAGCACAAGGTTCAAAATATCAATACGTCCAATACGCCGATAGGGGTGTATCGGGCATTTTGATACTTGTTTTTTTACCTTATTTTTATTTTTTCTTTCAAAACTGGTTCAGGGGAACTGGTCTAGGACTCCTCCATCCCCTGAACCGGTCAGACCCCCGATGCACCCACTGTAGGGCGTATGAAAAAGGTCCCGAAACAATACGTATCGACCGATACATAATGATACTTTGAACCTTGGTTCAGCATGAATACATATCATATCAATGGTCATCATCAACATTTGGATCTTTGCAACTATTAGACCACTCAGTTTTTTTTTTTTTTTTATATATAAGTTAAAACCCCCTCTCTTGAGAATAAGATTCATTCTAACTAATTTTAATTTCAATTATAATTCTCATCTAAACCAAATAGAATCAATTCAGATTACACCGACATATTTATAAAGAGTGGAAGCCCTTAATCCATAGCCAAAATAAAGTAATAAACCATTCCTATCTCTATAAACGGCTTCCTTGTTTTTTTTCCAATGCAGTTATGTCCCATTATGATAAAAGGTAAGCCCTAAACAAATAAATATGTATTGATATGGCAGATGGAACTGGTTTGATATATCAAGAGATGCACTCTAATCTTTTTGTTGGTAGAAGATGACTTCTATACGAATCATATGCAGTGTGTGAGGATATTACATATTACAGGGGATTAAAGGCAGGAACCACACGAGGTCTATTATCACTTAGATGTGTACAATATGAAACCACTATGTGAAAAAGCAAAAGCTTGGTGATTGATGGCAAGGACTAATGGGTCAGGACTCACTGCCCCTGTAACTTCCCACGTCTATCCTCAAAAAGGGTGATTCTATTAGGGATCCACAATTTAATATTCATACTAAAGTCTTTTCCTTTCTTTCTTTTTCTTCTTCTGTGAAAAGTCAGATTTCAGGTAAAAATAATACAAGTGTGGAATTGATTGCCAACAAGAAGACAAATTACTGGTTTGAGCAACCTTGTTACTACTAGTTGGAGGAATAAATTGAACAGAGCGCATTTCATCAAGTGTATGGGTTTCATGTCTTATTCATAATAACATTTAAGCTTAGCATGTATATACCTAGTTTTAGTACATTCCTTTTAAAAACTATGACTAGGACTTAGAATGCTCATTAGGTGGGACCCATAATAAGTCTTGATTCTAAAAAATCCCGCTTTGTGATTCATTTCAAGCTTTAGGATACTCCCTTTTGACACTGAACACCGAAGGGGTGTTTTAGTACAGTAGTATTGTGTTTTGGGTTGATTAATATAACTTTGCAATTAAGAAATATATTTTTTTTATATGATATATGAGTAGCTTTTCAACTAAAAATGCATGTACGTAAGAAATATTAAATTAAGCTATGTTTGGTTTGAAGGAAAACGTAGGGAAAGCAAGGGAAATATAGAGAAACCTGTACAAGGTTTGTAAAGTTTCCTTACATGAAAATAACAATTTGTATTGATCAATTCAAAACATTTTAAAAATATTTCAGACCAAAATAAAATCTTTCTTACACAAAATTGTATTGATTAATTCCAACGCATCTCACAATACCACTCTATCAAATACCCCTTAAAAATGGAGAATGGAAATTAGAAGTGCATCCTTTTTTTTGTTGTTTCAAAAGAAAATTGTTATCCTTTTTCTTTTTTTTTTTTTGTTTCAAAAAAATGTTTTCGTCTTTAAGGTGGTGTGACTTTATGTTTCATGAATAAAACAATGGGCAATAGACTTAAACCTCCCCGAATGTATGCTTTTCACAAATACTAAGACCTCCCCTCTCTTTTTAAAATGGATTTAAACCTCCCCGTCCAGTGAAATTATGGGATAGAGATCTCCCTTCGGTTAATAATTTGTCAAGATCCATTTGTACATTATATCACTTAGGCTCCATTTGGTTTGTGGGATGGGAAGGGAAAATATGGATGTTTGGTTTGTAGGATGACATGAGATGGGATGAGGAAAAGGTGGGATTATAGATCCGAATTCTTGGGATGTGAAGTCCCACCATTTTGGTGGGAAACAAGTGGGACTTATTAATCAAGTCATAAGTATTAATAAATAAAATATAAACTAATAAATTTAAATATTAATTAATATAGTCATTAATTAACTAATTAATATCAAATTAATGATTAACAATAAAATACTAAATCATAAAATATTACTAATAAATTAAGAATTAAAAACAATATATTTTATAATTAAATAATTATTTTATAATTAATAATTTAATTAAAAGAAATAATTTAATAATTTTTAGTAATTAATATAAAATTTTTAATTAAGTCATTGGTATTAATAAAATATAATATTAATAATAACTTATAAACTAATAAAATGTAAAATATTAATTAATTAACTAATTAAGGATTATAAATAATTAATAAAAAAAGTATCATTAACTAATTAATAATTAACAGAAAATAGTTAATAATTAATTAAGTAATTATTGAATTAATGAATAAATAATGATTTTATTATTAGTTTAATTAATGATTTAATAAAAATAATAATAAAATAAAATTATTAATTAATTAATGGTAAATATTAATAAAATAAAATTTAAAATATTAAATCTTAATTAATAATTATTAGATAATTATCGATATTAAAATTATTTCATTAATATATAAATAATTAATAATTAATATAAAATAATAAAAAAAATACTAATTAATTAATTAATTAATTAATAATTGTTACTAAGGTTGATTTTCTCACAGTTTTCCGTTTTGCAACCAAACAATGGAACATGAAAAATTTCCACCCATTTTCCCTTTTCAATCCCATCCCATCTCATAGTTTTCCCATCCCACCAAAATCTTCCCACAAATCAAACAGAGCCTATAGTTGAAATTTTTTAAAATCCCAATTTTGTTCTCTTATAGTCCTTTTACCTTGACTCAAAAAAATCCACCCTTGAAGGTCTGTTATAACAATTCTTATTTCRAAGAGGTCTGGGTTCAAGAACCATTTTCTTGCCACTCGGGATGATTTGCATTTATTTCTTTGAAAACTCCTAGTGAATCCACTGAACTAATGAATACTATGAATCCACTTTACAGAATTCTTCTTTGTGTTCAAATCAACATTAGAACTCTCGATTTGCATTTATGTAACTGCAGTTTTTATATGAATCAAGAACCCAATTAGATTTTTATTAATTTCAAAACTAAACATTAGTTGTGATCAAAAGAATTTGACATTTCATACAACTTTTTTTCTGAAAAATAGATATCAAAAATATTGAAAAGGAAAAACAAAAGATGGGCTGCTGAATAAGCAACTAATATGATAGGAAAAAGGAATTAATGAGCTCCCTCTCAAATATACAAATAAAAGCTTTTAAAATTGAAAGAAAGGATTCCGCTTCACTTGATCATTATAGCCTTGTACAGGGAATATGGTTTGGGATGATCGGCACTCGGCAGCACTAATGCAATCTCCGGTTTTTCTCTAAAGAGGTATTTTTCAATGGAGGTCTGGAAATGGTGCTCATCTTTTTCTAGAATTTTCATCTTGTTTTTAGTAGAAATGCTCAAGCCATCTTTTTTATTTGTGCTTAAGAATACATATCACTTAATACGCAAAACTCTCGGTGACAGAGTTCAATATTTTGAAAATTTGATGAATCAATTAGGATAAAAGAGTCATTTTAATTATTCTGTTAGACATAACTTTAACCGGAGAGGTTTTAGTCCCATTCAAAACATATAATATTGAGATAGAGATAGATAGATAATGATCAAATGGATAATAATTATTTCAAAAAAATACTTAATAATTCTTTTTTTTATCTTTTACATTTTAATTTGTATGTATAAAAATGTTGGTTGGTATGATAAATGGAAGCTTCAACACCAAACCTATAAGAGGGATTCCTATCAAAAAAAACAAAAACTCATAAGAGGGATTTGATGCGATCGACGGTCGGGATTGATGAAGATCAGAGCCTATCGAAGCTGCGCTCATCATGTTATCATTGAAGAGGTATGGTAATTGGTGAACGATGTACCAGATTGATCGAAACAACATCTGGACCATCAAAATGGTCCAAAGATCCCTTAATCTTAATCGTTTCTGTAGCCGATGAGAATTTTCTTATTTTCTAGCCTCTCTCTCTCTCTCTCTCTCTCTCTTTTGACTTCGATTCTTTCTCACTCATGGCCTCTTCCTCTTTATTCTTCTACGCTCTGCGTCTCTGCCAATCCCCAGCCATGTTGTTTCATCCCAAGTAGTCTTCCTCTCTCTCTCTCTCTGATTCGGTTTCGACCCGTATGCCCACCATGGATTCTCGAACAGCTTTCTCAGACTCCAATGACAACAACAGTGGGAGCAGCGGTATCTGCTTCATTTCCGGCACTGAGAGGTCCGAGACCCTGTCCTCGGAAATTTCTGCCCCAGACGTCACAGCCTTAAGACGCCTTTCTGAAAATCTAGAATCTATATTCGAATCCCCCGATTTTGATTTCTGCAGCGACGCCAAAATCGTAGTTTGCTCAGGCCAGGAAATTCCCGTCCACCGCTGCATTCTCTCGGCTCGAAGTCCCTTCTTTAAGACCGTCTTCTCTAGTTCAGCGGCCAAGGAGAAGGGTGGGAAATTCGAATTAAAGGAATTGGCCAAAGATTTTGAGGTGGGTTACCGCCCCTTTGTTGCGGTTTTATCCTATCTCTATAGTGGAAAGATCAGGCCATTGCCCAAAGATGTTTGTATTTGCGTCGACGACAATTGCTCACATGTCGGATGTCGACCTGCTGTGGATTTCATGGTGGAGGTGCTCTATGCCTCCTTCGTCTTTCAGATTCCTGAATTGGTGGCTCTTTATCAAGTAAGATAGCAATTCCTGTTCTCGGTTGTGAATTGAATTTTGATTTACACCTTTACTAGCTAGCAGTCATAAATAAGTAAATAACCATTTATTCCAGAATTTCCTTTGTGCTTGTTACTTGATTTCCAAATCACTGTAGAGGTGGTCGTGTTGCAAAACAACTTGTTATGGAAATAAGATTACTCTAGTATTCAGTCAAAGTTTTCTTGTAATCTAGTATCCGCATGAATTACGGGAAACCATGAGACCCTACGATAAATTTGATCATCATTAACAGAGGTTTTTATTGAATGACCAAGTTCAACTCATGCAACAGACAACTTCATTATAGATTTTAAAGAATAATTGCAAGGATCGTCGTCCACAAGAATGGTAATTCTCTGCCTTTCAATGGAGCAAACTGCCCATATATATACAAATACATCAAGAATAAAAATAGTAAGAATAAAAATTAAGACTAAAAATTAGCAACTTCCTAAAAGTCCATATACACAAAATCTTTCTAAATATCTTACAACATCTCTATTACTTCCCTTCAAGTTGGAGCATGTAGGTCATGTATGCCCAACTTGCGAAGAAGAAAATCAAACTGTCGTCGGCCAAGTGCCTTTGTCAAAATGTCTACTAACTGATTATAAGTCCGTACATGAGCAGTCTCAATAGTCCGGTCTTGCAAAGCATCACGAACAAAGTGACAATCAACCTCTATATGTTTGGTGCGCTCATGAAACACCGGATTATCTGCAATATAAATAGCGGCACGACTATCACAATGCAATTTCATAAGTCTGGGATGTTCCACCCTAAGGTCACGTAGAATACTCTTCAACCACTTCAGTTCACACGTCGCAGCAGCCAGGGACCTGTACTCTGCTTCTGCAGATGAACGTGAGACGGTATGTTGCTTTTTGGTTTTCCAGGAATAGGAGACCGTCCAAGCATCACAAAGTACGCAGTCAAAGAGCACCGTGTCAAATGACAATTAGCCCAGTCGGAGTCACAATAAGCATACAATCTGAGATCACTGTTGGTGCTCAAAATTATACCCTGGCCCGGATTCCCTTTGAGGTGTCAAACCACCCGTAGAGCTGCATCCCAATGTTCTTGTCGTGGTTGTTGCATAAATTGAGCCAATATATGCACAGAATAGCAAAGCTCTGGCCGTGTTATAGTAAGATAGATTAATCTCCCGACTAGACGTCGATATTTTTCTGGGCCATCAACCAACTTCCCGTTGGCCAATGCGAGTCTATGATTTTGTTCCATAGGCAAATGAGCCGGTTTAGCTCCTAGCAATCATGTTTCTGAAATAATATCTAGTGCATACTTTCGTTGACAGAGATAGATGCCCTCATCACCTCTGGCAACTTCAATGCCAGGAAAATACTTCAGCATCCCAAGGTCCTTCATGTGAAAGCACCAACTCAAATACTGCTTGAATTGATGTATCATCTCTCCACTGTTTCCTCCCACAACAAGATTGTCCACATACACCAAAACACATAGTGTAGCTCCGTCCTTATGGTAAGTGAATAAAGAATAATYTGAGTGTGATTGAGTAAATCCATACGTCTTCAAGGTCATGCCCAATTTGGCAAACCGGTTTCTGGGTGCCTGTCGTAATCCGTATAAAGATTTGTGCAAGCGACATGCCTTTCCTGAATGTGTAGATGAGAAATCGGGCGGCAATCGCGTGTACACCTCTTATGCCAAGTCACCATGCAAAAAAAGCATTATGCACATCCATCTGATGAAGCTCCCACTTTCGTGCTGCCGCTACAGCCAAAAACAACCGAACAGTCACCATCTTTGCCACTGGAGCGAAAGTCTCATTATAATCTATCCCAGCCTTCTGATTGTTTCCTAAAATCACCAATCTAGCCTTGTGTCTTTCGATCGTTCCATCTGAGTTATACTTGGTCTTGTACACCCATTTACACCCGATCGCTTGCTTCTCGGGGGGCAACGGTTCAAGAGTCCAGGTGCCATTACGCTCAAGAGCTTCAATTTCCTCCTTCATTGCTTGTCTCCAATGTGGCTCATGAATTGCTTCTGAAAAATATGTGGGATCTTTCCCTACAGTTATAGCTGCCAAGAACTGTCTCTATCTCAAAGAAAAATTAGTACAAGTCACATTACGTGTAATAGGATAAGACACACCTGAGGAGTGGCATGATGTGGCATGATCAGCGAGGGGGTCGTTGATGCGCTGCGCTGTGTGGCATACATAGTCCTTCAGCTTCTCAGGAGGACGCCTTTCCCTACATCCTCGGCCAAGGTTTTCACCTTCACTATTACTTTCCAAGTTCACGTCGCCCTCCCTCTATTCATTAAGAACCTCACCACTCCCCCTTGCTTCCGGAGTCAAGTCTTCTTCAGGAGTTGGTTCATCATTCGAAGTATCTGCACTATCCAGCTCATGATCATCAAAGCATTGCACATCATCATTACAAATAGATGGTTGCTCGRTCACAYCGGTGCKRAGTGATTCAGAGATAGCAACCTTATAAGGAAAAATATGTTCAGAGAATACAACATCACGAGATACAAAGAACTCATTTGTATCTAAGTCATAGAGTCTCCATCCTTTCTTGCCGAAAGGGTACCCAACAAATATGCACCTTCGACTTCGAGAACCAAACTTGTCTTTGTCACGCCTTTGATAATGAGCATGACATAAGCATCCAAAAACACGAATATGTTTGTAAGTTGGTTCCTTCCCAAACAACAATTCACAAGGACTATTTCCATCAAGTAAAGGACTTGGAGTACGGTTAATCAGATATCCTGCAATCAACACACATTCACCCCAAAAACTCACCGGTAAATTTGCCTGAAAACGCAAAGCGCACACAACATTCAAGATATGGCGATGCTTGCGTTCCACCCTGCCATTTTGCTGAGGTATCCCAACACATGATGTTTGGTGAATAATGCCATGAATATCACAATAATTACTCAAGGCTACAAATTCCGACCCATTATCACTCCTTATTACCCGAACCTTACTGTCAAATTGGGTCATTACCATGGCACAAAATTTCACAATGTTAGCACTAACTTCACTCTTTTCTGCCATCAAATAAATCCACATTGCCCGTGAGTAATCATCAACGATGGTCAAAAAGTATATAGCACCACATGAAGTAGGAGTACAGTATGGTCCCCAAACATCGCAATGAATCAAAGCAAAAGGTGCAGAAGCTTTATTATGGCTCAAAGGAAACACATCACGGGTTTGTTTAGCTCTTAAACAAATATCACATAACTCACTTGTGTTTCTTGACTAGCAATTTTATTTTTAATAGTAGGAAGTAGACTAACAACTCGTTTTGAGGGGTGTCCCATTTGCCTGTGCCACAGTTCATATGAGTCCATCTTCGCCAGCCTGCATGCACCAGTCCTTGCCACACAGCGCCAAAGATAGACCCCATCACGCTTCTCACCCACACCAATCACTGTCCTCGAAGTGGGGCCCTACATTACACATAGTTTGTCAGAAAACGTGACTGTACATTTTAATTCATCAATAAATTGAGACACAAATATCAAATTGCAACTCAAGTTGGGAACATATAAAACATGTTTTAAGATCAATCCTTTCCCAAGCTGTACTTCTCCTTCTTGCAACGCCATCATATTCTTTCCATCAGGAAGTCCAACGGCACAAGGAGGGTTTTCATGCATATTGTTCAATAGCTCCAAATTCCCGGTCATATTGTGAGAGCATCCCGAATCTATCAACCACATTTTCATACCCGTCAATTTCTCTGAAGTGGATTCCTTGTGTGAATTGATCATCGCCATTAGCGTTGCCCACTGTTCATCATTAAGTCCGGGAAAACCAGCTTTGTCGCTGGTCCGGACAGCCGCAACAGTGGTATTGACGCCGCAGCTTCCTTGTGTCTGGACAGCATTGGCAGCCGCTGTACCAGACCCTCCTCGACCCCTTTCGGTTCCCGTGCCTCGACCTCCTCGTTCCCCACGACCACCAGAGCGACCTCCTTTGCCTGCAAACCACCAATCTGGGTAGCCTACAAGCTGAAAACATTCGAGCTCCTCATGTCCAATCTTTCCACAGTGAGAGCACATCTTCTCATCCTTGTTCGTAGCTTTGGTTCTATTTCCAATTTGGACAGCAAATCCCACAGCCTCTCCTCGTTCTTCACTTGCTCGAGCCACCGTTTTGTGCTGTTCCTCTTGCACAATTATTGCATATATTCGATTCAATGAAGGTAAAGGATCTATACTTAAAATATTTGACCTAATAGTGCCATAAACTGCACTGTCAAGGCCCATGAGAAATTGATGAATTTTCCCCTTTTCCCACTCCAATGCTAGCTCGGTCGTCGCTCCACACTTGCATCCACTACACGTGCATCGTGGTTTCTTCACATACCCAGCCAACTCCTCCCACATGGTCTTCATCTTCCCATAATATGCAGATACGGTCATGCCTTATTGTTTGCAATTGGCCAAGTCACTCTTTAATTGGTGAATTCGCAGGTCATTCCCAATGGCGAACCGTTCCCGAAGATCCTCCCAAAGTTCCTTTGCTGTCTCCATATAGGAGATCGTAGACCGGAGTCCAGGTTCTATGGTATTGAATATCCATGCTACCAACATGGAATTCACACTATACCAATATTCTAATTCGCTGGAATCGTCACCAGGTTTTGTCACATTACCTTCAAGAAAAACCAATTTCTTCTTTGCCCGGAACGCGTTCTTCATGGCTTTGGCCCATTCATCATAGTTATCGCCTTTCAAGACAATAGGTGTCACGACCAAGCCGGGGTTGTCCTGCAAACCAAGATAGTAAGGAGATTTCGAAAAAGCCATAGTGTAAGTATGGCTCTGATACCATAAAGAATAATTGCAAGGATCGTCGTTCAAAAGAATGGTAATTCTCTGCCTTTCAATGGAGCAAACTGCCCATATATATACAAATACATCAAGAATAAAAATTAGTAAGACTAAAAATTAGCAACTTCCTAAAAGTCTATATGCACAAAATCTTTCTAAATATCTTACAATATCTCTATTAGATTTTATTATGAAGTATTTTCTAGCATAAAATTTCACAACTCAAAGATCTTGCTAATAAAAAATTTCTGATAACAAAATAATACCATACTGTGGAATCTATATTTGTTCATGGGATAACTAAGTTCATCATAGCTTTAGCAGTTGGAAGTGAAACCAAGGCAAGACTAGTAGTAGTCTGCCAGTTATCAAAGCTATAATGTGTTTCTAGCATTGGTAATGAAAACAACGATGACATGGATTTATGGTGGCTGAAAAATTGAAAGTTGGGATCTAATATGATTAGGAAAACTCTTTGACATATTATACATAGGAATTTTTTGTGTAGTTTCAAGCCGCTGCTAATATGGCACTTTTTGTTGTATCTTACCTTTTCTGTTTTTAATGAAATGCTCTTTTTACCCAAAAAAGAAAGTTTCCTTGACATGTATATAAGCTACGTGAAGATTATCACTACTACTGACAAATTATATGCTTGTTATTTTCCATAAAAAAGTGGGAACTAGGGAATAGCTTATTAGGTAATTCTAACATATTCTACTTTAATAGTGTTTTTTATTTCAAGAGATCCTTTTCACATCAGTTCATCCAGATCTATATTGAAGCTGGTTGGGGATATAAAGGTAACTCATTCTATACTGTTTGGTTGAGTAGGTTTTGACTGCATTCAGTTCTTGTGATACATAGTATGTAAGGTTCACCTCATTATTGTTTGCAAGGATTGGTTTCTTTTGCTACTTGCTTATTTAGGAAATTAGTTTATATGGAATACATTGTCAGCCTGAACTGGGGGATAAATAAAACTAGAGTTGTTCTGCAGAGGCACCTACTTGACATTCTTGACAATGTGACAGAAGATGACATTTTGGTGGTACTATCTGTTGCAAATATGTGCAATAGAGCTTGTGAGAGATTAGTGACAAAATGCATCGAAATTATAGTCAAATCTGATATTGATGTTGTAATGCTTGAGAAGACATTGCCCCATGATGTTGTGAAGCAAATCACAGATTCACGTCAGCAACTAGGTTTGGAAAGGAATGAAGACAACATTTTCCCGAACAAACATGTGAAAAGGATACTTAGGGCTCTAGACTCTGATGATGTTGAATTAGTGGGAATGTTGCTAAAAGAAGGGCATACTACACTAGATGATGCGTATGCTTTACACTATGCTGTGGCATATTGTGATGCAAAGACAACTACAGAGCTTCTGGACCTTGGACTTGCTGATGTTAATCACAGAAATCCAAGGGGATTCACTGTGCTCCATGTTGCTGCAATGAGGAAAGAGCCTAAGGTGATAGTGTCTCTCCTAACAAAAGGCGCCCGGCCATCTGATCTTACTCTGGATGGAAGAAAAGCACTTCAAATCTCAAAACGGCTTACCAAATCTGTGGATTACTTAAAGTCTACTGAAGAAGGAAAGGCCTCTCCTAAGAATAGGTTATGCATAGAGATATTGGAGCAAGCAGAGAGAAGAGATCCACTATTAGGGGAAGCTTCTGTTTCTCTTGCAATGGCAGGTGATGATCTGCGTGTGAAATTGTTGTACCTTGAAAATAGAGGTGAGTTATTCTGATACAGTCAAATTTCTTTTCCTTTGGGTATGCATATTACCTGTTAAACATATTTTGGATGAACTAAACTTATTTCCTACAAAGTTTTCTCCAACTCCAAATACTGTGTCACGTATGAGTCAGGTTATACCTTTATATCGTACATCATACAGAATAAGAAAAATGCTTGAATTCAGCTATAAAAGATAAAAGTGAAATTTAACTATATTGATTCTTTATAGCTCTTTCTTTCTGTTCTGATTGATTGGTATCTTGCAATTTACCATCTTGGCCCATGCATTTATCCTACAATCTATGATTTTTGTGCACCTGAAGATAAAAGCTATGAAACAAGGCCTCTAGAACCTTTTTATCCAATATCTTTCCAAACCAAGCAAGATGGCATCAATTTTCAGTGATCCTCAATACTAGTTCTTGTTACGTAAGCATTTTTTTCATAAGAATTCTTGAAGTTCATCTCTGTACACTCCATGTGAGAGTTGTAACTTATTAGTGCTGTATTTTGCCGTGCCTGGCCAATAGTGTTCTCTTGGGGGCCTGTTGTACTCTTTCAGTTATAATAAAATTTACCTTACCTTTTTTCAAAAAAAAAAAGACTATAACCTCCAACCCCTCATTAAAATCCTTTGAAGAATCTTGCTCTTGTTGCTATCAAAGCCATTCAGTTATGATTTTCAAATTCTTAGAATCAAACTTTAGTTTATTACCTGCTTTTCATATCTTTTTTTTCTTCATGAAGATCAATTAGCTAATGTTTTCTTGTAAAAATTCAAACCCCTTTGCACCTATTCTTTTCTTCTTTTATTTTTTGTTGCTACTTGTTAAAAATAACATATATTTTCTAGCAGTTCTTTACAATATTCAGTTTCGTTTTTTTCTACCCACTCTCAAGAGATAAATTGTGTTTCAAACAGAAACTATTAGATCTCAGATGCTGAGATTTCTGGCCAAGATTAGCTACTTTGCATATGGTAGAGAGAAATATTAGATTGTAAACATCGAGAGTTTTTGAAAAAGTTGTGTCACAAAACAATCACCAGGGAAAAAAAAAAGAACAGTTTCCATCTTTAAGGAAGGTGATGTAAACTAGCATTGCTTACTGTGGAGAATACTCATTTTCTCCCAATGACCACTTTTATTTTATCATTTGTATAAATTTTCCACTCTTCAGCTAAATGGATGTTCTTCAATTGATGCCTACCAACTTATAAATAGGAACATCAGAGCATTTAGGTGTATTTTTGCCTAAAATTCTATTATATTATTATTTTTACAATAATTGAGGTTTCTAATGTAGATTTTGTTTCATTCTTATTGCCGTGTTTCAACTTTCAAATCTCCATACCCTGCCCCCAAGCACTCAGGCATGCACAACTGGTCTTTTTTTTTTTTTTGTCTTGTATGGATCAAACCTCAAACAGTGATTGCTTTGGTTTAGGTGAATCCCTGACCATCATCCCAGAAACCATGCAAACCATTCAGTCGAATCACCCAATCATGAAATCTTTTTAATAGTTCCAAGAGTTTGATGGTTCTGCTACTTTATTGTCCAGTTATATTAATGATGTGGCATTGGTATTGCGATTGAACCTCTGGACTATGAAGTGCCAGCTCCAGAAGTTTGAGGCCTGGTTTTAATTCAAGAGCATTTGTTTGCAGGTTTACAAATTTTACCATAATAAAGAGTTTTTTCTTACATTGACTGAGAACAACTTCACCTAATCAATGACCATTGCTGTAAAATATCCTATGGTGATTTTTGCTCTGAACTCATTTGTAATGATATGCCTTCTTTTACTCTAGTTTGTCTAGCAAAACTTCTATTCCCTATGGAAGCAAAAGTTGCTATGGACATTGCACAAGTGGATGGCACTGTGGAGTTCCCATTAACAGTGGACTTGAATGAAGCACCTTTCAGGATTAAAGAAGAGCATCTAAATAGGATGAGAGCACTCTCCAAAACTGGTAAATAATTCCCCATTCTTTCCATTGATCTTGCAATACTAGTTCTTCTGTGCTCTTTTTTCCTTTATCTTCCCTTACTTTGAGGGGAAATTACCCCTTGATTTCGAAGTCTTTATATGGCTGCAATTCAATTACAGAGGCTAATGCTCGAATATCTAGTGCAAGGAAACTAAAGTATTAGTGCCACCCATATGGAATTTTTTATCAATGCATCTGTGAAAAGGACTATGCACCACGGTCAATAAGAATTCCTGGTTGTCTGCCCTCTTTCCCAGGTGCATGCTCAGGTACTGCCACTCAAGTATTGGTTGTACTTACTGCCTTGTCTTTAAAACCAGAATTCTCCTTCGATAAAGCATAGCCACTTACTGAACTGCAGTTCCTAATCACTTCTAGTTCCTTTTCTGTAATCACTATTCTTAAGGGAATGCTGACCCTACAACCAGGCAGTAATTGTATATGTTTGTTACCACTTTAACATGAGACCTGTGGTAGACAAGCTACAGAGTACCTGCTGAGCAGTTTGAACTTTGGAGCAAGCACCATCCACGTTCCTTTTAGGCTGCGTTTGGTTTGAAATGAAAGGTAGAGAAAGGAAGGGAAAGGTTGAGAAACCTGTACAAGCCTTAGTTCAGTCTTCTTTACAGTTAACGAAGGGCTTTCTCTCCACATGTGTTTGGTTGGGAACTACCCAGTTGTAGAGTGGAATTCTTATTTATCCTATGTCCTCCTGCATGTACAGTTGTTTACTCAAACTAGAACCCGTCCTTGGAACAATAGAGGACAACTAGGAACAATTTTGGTTTACAAGCATGATTGTGCCACATTTAATAATTGGGGCCATGCCATCTTATATCGTGAAGGACAGCTCTGAACTTTTAGTGCATGTTTGTATATTTGTAACCTTCTCCAATCATACATATCCTTGCTGTTTATATGTAATTGAGTATCTCACTGCCATGAATCTTCTGTTTGGAACCTCAGTGGAACTTGGGAAACGCTTTTTCCCACGTTGCTCCAAAGTACTCGATAAGATAATGGATGCTGAGGACTTATCAGAGCTTGCACATGTTGGAAATGACACGACAGAGGAGCGTCAAAGGAAGAAGACAAGGTACATGGAACTACAGGACATGTTAAGTAAAGCATTCCATGAGGACAAAGAGGAATTCAATAGATCCACCATGTCATCATCATCCTCATCAACATCTATAGGAATGGTGAGATCTAATAACAGGCTTACCACAAGGAAGTAAACTTTTAACAACCTGAGACTGAGAGACAAACACCTGTCCCATCTTGTTGCATGCTCATGCTGTAGTGTATCGATTCCATTCACTTTTTGTTTTGCTTTCTTTTAGCATCCACATCACACTTGTCCTAATGTAACATATACGAACATGATTTTGGTATGTATTTACTTGCTCATATCATTGTACAGTCTGGGAAAATTTTGTACTAGAGAAGATTAGGTTTGTATGTGTTATGTAGGGCACAAATACAAGTGAAACTCTCAAGTTCAGGTCAGAATATAACGACTTTGGAATAAGCATCTACAGGCAACCATAGAAGCAGGTTGGCATTGTCTAGAACATCTCCTACTCCTAAGGTCGGAAGAAAATTCGGGATGATCATGGCCACCATGAGGAAAGCAGAACCAACTGGATATTGGGAGATGATGTTTGAAACTCTTATTCTATTATTCTTTCAGACACTGTAGATCTTGACCTAAAGCAAGAATGGGATGCTCATAGTCATAGACACAGCTGGCTGTGATTGATTATTGGATCCACAGTGCACACGGCCAGCAGCTCTTCAGTCTTCACATTCATCGTTTGCTGACGACCTACTATGTAGTCCGGACTGACTGTCACAGTGTCACGTCACTCCCACTCAATAATAAACGACCCTGAAAGGCTGAAAAGCAGATCCTCCAAAACATTATCCTTACAGAGTGTGTAGTGCCGATAATTGCCTTGGCCTCACGCCCAATCAACCATTCCCAATAGAAATGATGTGGGGCATTTGGGTTTTGGGGTATGAACCAATGTTCTATACTCCTTGAGAAAATTTTACAATTTCCAGCAGCGGCACGGCAGAAGATAGGATCATCCGCGGTTTCTGTCTGTTGTGTCCTTGGCTTTGTGGGTTTAACTAGGAGGTTGGAGAATCAAATGGCCGCATGGCACAAATGTTGGTACCCTACTCCACAAATCTATATCTGTCTATACTATTATAAAAAGTAGGAATAGCTTCTAAATTTCTAGAATTTTTTCTACTAAAATATCCCTTTTTTTTGAAATATGACCCCACTATTGTGAGGGTAAAAAATGTAATATAAATGCTATTATTCAATACATTCAATTCTCTCTTATAAATCACACATTTAAGGTATTAACTCCCGTTCACCCTCATTGAATCATATATTTAAAGCATCTTTGTTTATTAACATAAAACTTATAAACCATTTTTTTCTACATGGAAAAAATAGTGTTTTCATCTAGGTGGTGGTAAGAAATTAAACCATTTTGGTCAAATGGGCCAACTCATGTTTCCGCAATTATCCACTTGTTGAAAAGTTAGTGTGTTGTGTTAAATACAAAAAAAAAATATTTCCATAATTAAATAATATAAAATTCAAAAATAGATCAAATGCAAATATATAAATTAAAGAAAATTTTGGAACACTTTTAATATCATATATTTGACATATTAAACAATAATAAGTATGACAAATAAGAATTATTTTTATTAATGAGGGAAATGGAATATAAAATTTAAAACCAATTTGAAATAAAACTATTTTCATATTCTCTCTCATTAAATCTCATATCCAATTTATATTTTCTCATTAAATCCTATATCAAGCATATATTTTTTTCATCATTAAATTCCACTAATTAAATCCAAAACATCAATTTTATTATTATAAAAATAAATATATTGAAAATTTATTTGAAAATAAAACCATTTTCTTTCACTCCCGGTGGTGGGTAAGCAATTCAACCATTTGGGCTTAAATGGGTTAATCAACAATATCATAATTTAATAATAAAAAAATAAAATAAATAAAATATGGAAAAACAAAAAGAATTAAGTATATCTCTAATATTGTGCATTCATTATACTAAACAAAAATAAGTATGAAATATAAGAAGTATTTTTATTAATGATGAAAATGGAATGTCAAATCTAAAATCAACCTATAAATGAAATGATATCATAGTCAAATAATAAAATTTTTAAAAATAGAAAATAAAAATAATCACAAAAATTAAAAAACTAGATAAAATTTTGGTTATATATCTAATGTTACGTATTTATAAAAAATAAAATATCGGGTACATCTATAATATCATACATTCATTATATTGAACAAAAATAAATATTATACATAGAAATTAATTTTATCAATGATATAAATGTAATACAAAATTTAAAGTCAACCTAAAAAGCAAACTATTTTCCTTTTTTTGAAAATAAATATTGTCCTTTTTGGGTGGTGGGTTACTGGTTTGGGTTAAATAAATTAATTGATGATGTCATAGTTAAATAATAAATCTTAGAAAGTAAAAAAGTACAAGCAATCAAAAGAATACAAGAATTATAAAAAATGTATAAATCTCTAATGTTATATATTAATTATATCAAGCAAAAATTTAGTGTAATAAGTAAAAAATATTTATATAATGTATATGAAATATATAATTTAAAATTGATTTAAAAGCAAAGCTATTTTCCTTTGTAGATGATGGGTCAATGATCCAACTTTTCAAATAAACTCATGGTTAAATTTTAATAATAATAATAATAATAATAATAATAATTGTTATTGTAATTTAAAATTTCTATCTGCAATCCACATGAAGTTGGAATTTTTTGTGTATATTTACTTTTTATTTTATAGGGTCATTTACTATAACACCCCCTATAATTTCATAAATTTACTTAAACCTACCCTATAATTTGTGTTTTACTAAAATACCCCTTATAGTTTGAAACCTATTTACTTAATCAACCTTTCATTAATAAATATTTGTTTTTCTATTTGAATATAGTAACATGATCACCTAAACTAAGTAGAAAATGTTCACCCATGGTTGTTTATTCTAAAAGTACCCCTAAACTAAGTGAAAAATGTTCAAGGATATGGGTCCATGGTTGTTTATTCCAAAAGTACCCCTAACACTTTCGCATAGAAAATAAAATTGATCAAATAGAGAAGAATAAAGTGGTTATCCATGTTTTACTAGGGGCAAAAATGGCATTTTTTTTAGTTTCTTTTCATTAAAGTTTATTTGAATGAATGTTAGGGTTAAAACTATCATTTTCCACTTTTATCTAATGGAACTATGGAAGGTCAATTAAGTAAATTGATTGCAAACTATAAAGGGTATTTTAGTAAATGACCCTATTTCATATTACATACATACAAATATACACATACGCACACACATATATATACACACACTTTTATGTATAGTATATTTATTTATTCTTAAAAGTATTAATGAGAATGTGGAACTTCATTTTTTACTAAACTACCCCTATTTTTTAATGTAGTTCTTCTTTAATTCCGAGGGGTAATAATGTAATATCCCTTACAAGCTTTCATCTTATTTAATTTCCTTCTCATTAAGCCTTATATTTAAGGAACTAATTCACATTCTCTCACATTAAATGTTTTTTAAAGGATAAAATGCTAAAACCTCCCCTAAAGTTTCTGACCATTATTGAAACTTTCCCTAAAATTTGGTAATTACAATCACCTCCCCTAAACTTTTTAACATGAGACTTTTTCTCTTATAATCCTCTAACAAGAGGTATGAAAAGGTCCAAAATAACCATATTGTTGCTTTGACTAAAATGTTTGTTTTCCAAATTTTCCTTTCATATCAACCACTTCCCCAAACCCTTCCAACCTCTTTTCCGAAATTGGTTTATTTTATAATTTTTTCCTTTATATAAATCCCTCAAAAAATTACAATTTTAAACATTCTTTTTTTGTTGTTCATAAAGTTTGCATTATGCTATACAAAAACCAGCCTCAATGGTAATGCATGGGTATTTTGGACATTTGTGTACCTATTGTTAGAGGATTCTAAGAGAGAGGGTCCCCTTGCAACTGTATTAGAAAGTTCAAGGGAAGCGATTGCAATTACCAAACTTCATGGGAGATTTTAGCAACAGTCAGAAACTTCAAGATAGATTTCAGCAATTTATCATTTTCAAAAACTAACCTAAAAAAGAAAATGAAACAATTCTTCAATCCAAGTGGTGACTAAGCCATTTCGACCATTTGGGCTCAATTGGGTGAATCCATGTGGGCCATTTCTCTGATATTTTATATTAATCATAATAAACAAAATAAGTGTCATAAACAAGAATTGTTTGTATTGATAATGGAAATTAAACACAAATTTTAAAACCAACCAAAACATGAAATTGATTTCCTATTTGGTCCAGATCAACAATTCAAAATTGCCAATATTTGATGTCACAATTAAACAATCAAAATTAAAAAAAATAATAATAAAACTGAAAAAATACATAAATTTTGCAAAAAAAAAAACATTTGGGCACATCTCTAATATTGTATATTCATCATATTAAACAAAAACAAGTATTATAAATAAGAATTGTTTTTCTGTACATGGAAATGTAACAAATGTAAAAAATGTAATTTGAATTTAATCTCCTTTTAATTGTGAGGGCAAAAAATGTATTTTGAACTATTATTTTTCACCTCATTCAAATCCTTCAAATTAAATCATATATTTGAGGGGCCAACACCTATTATATCTCATTAAATGACATATTTAAGATATTTTCTCACCAATAAATTCTGTTATTATATCTATATCCAATACTTTTAACAATAAATCTCATTTTTTTCAAAGTTGAATAAAAAAATGAAATTATCCTTCTGTTTAGGTGGTGAAAAAGCAAATCAACCATCTAGGTCAAATGGATCAAGCCATGATATCATAATTAAATAATAAAAATTAAAGAAAGACAAAAACAAAAAACATGCATAATATGTATAGAAAACATTTGGGACATTTTTATACAAAATTTAAAATAATTTGGATGTATATTACTATTTTCATCATCTAAAATTGCCACGTGCAAGACACGTTCAAATTTACTATCTAAAATTGCCACGTGCAAAACACGTTCAAATTTACTAGTAACAAAATAATGCTTGGATTTATGGGAAGAAAGAAACTCTAGGATCTATGGAAAGAAAGAAATTTCCTCTAAAGGCAATCATTTGTTGGTCTTTATGAGAAGAAAGAAACTCCAAGATCTTCTCTGAAGAAGAGAGAAGTGCTGAAGATCTGAGGGCCCTGATCCATATAAGGGTTGTACAGTGGATGAAATCCCTAAAGCTATACTGACTATACAGTGGATGACATGTTGAGGAAATGGAGTGAGATTGCTAATTGTACCCAGACTAAAGCAGTAATGAGTGTATCTTAGACTCCCCCACCTGTGGGTTTCATAAAACTAAACTTTGATGAAAGTAGCAAAGGGAACCCTGGACAATCAAGGATTAGGGTGTTTTCAGGGATGAGAACGGGGTTGTTTCTACCATGTTCTCAGACCCAATTAGAGTGGGTGACTCTCTCAGAGCTAAGATCCATGCAGTTATGGAAGGGGTCTAGAAAGCTAGGGAAATGAATTTTGAGAAATATAGCAATGCGAGGACGATAGTGGTTTATAGAGATATAACAACGCGAGAAGGAAATTCAGATGGCTGGTTCGAGAAATAAAAGTCAAAATTAGTTGGGTAAAAACATCAGCTAATTCTTTTGGGTTAGCTAAAGAAGGGGTGGACAGGGAATCAATGTTCTAGGCACAGTTGTAATTTAAATCTCTTCTTTCCTTTTTCCTTTTCTCTTTCTCTCTTGTTTCATTTCTTGGGGCTCAAGCTGAAATTGGAAGTTCGTATTCCTCTTTGTAATTCTTATTGTGATAATTAATGAATTGTGTTATTGATAAAAAAAATAATGCATGTATTCATTCAGATGATTAAAGTGATCTTGGTGCTTTGTAAGGCTCAGTTTGGAAAGAGTACAAATGAAAACCTTGTATATATTTTGTATTATTTGCACTCTACATATTTTGTATTTGTACTCTTTCCAAACTGATCCTAATCAGTTTGGAAGGAGTACAAATGCAAATATATAGAGTGCAAAATCGTGTATTTTATATTATTTTGTATATATTTGCAATGTACATAAATGTAATTGTATGCAAATTTGTAGAGTGTGAAACCTTGTATTTTGTATTTTGTATGTAATATTTGTATTTGTACTCCTTCCAAACTGAACTAAACAACGAGTTTATGCAACTCTCGTTCTATTTCCACAACAAATATGATCACAGACAGATGAACATACTAGCTCTACTAGTCCAAGTTGCTAACTAATCAAGCAAATCGCCAGACACCTCCCTTTATAATTCAATGCATGCTACTAACTCGGCAGGTTGTAAGGTTCAAAGAACTTTAGAAATAGCCAGTAAAAGATCCTAAACATCTCCAACTTCTGAAAAAAAAAAAAAAGAGTAAAACCAGTAACATCAACTACCACCCTATCTTATTCCTTTTTGGGTAAGAAGCTTATCTTATTCATGGCTTCTTAGTTCATACATTGAAGATTGATCTTTAAAAAACATAATTGCCACTGTGCAGCTGGAACCGCAACACTACTCTGCAATTGTGGGTAGAAAAATGCTCCCTCAAAAAGTTGTGTTCTCAACTTCTTTAGTATCTTCATCAACAAACTTCTTGTAGATGCAGTGCATCCAACCTACAAAACAAACCAAAGCACCCAACACCATAATCGTAAACCAAGAAGAAATGTACCACGAAGTAACACTGAAATCACCATGTACAAAAGAAAATAAAGGATACAGAAGAAAGAGAATCGCCTCTCTTTGTCTCTCTGCATCTTCAGACCCTTGCCTGGCTCCCTGCTGCTATGTACATACACAACATGATAATGGACTTTGCGCTTATCTACCCTATCAACAACGGAAAGCCGGAGAGAAGATGCAGAGGTTGACGACGTCCAACCCAAAACTAGACAACCAGTGCTTTGTTCCTCTTCCTTGTACTATTTGTTGGACCCCAGATAGCCCATTTGTTTCACCAAATCCTGTACATCTTCACCCCAATCCGGTGTCTCAACAACCAAATCCTCCACTGGGATATCGATTTCCGATTGATGTATTTCATCCCCTCCATCACCCGCAATCAACTCCTCGTCCAGTAATTCCGCCCAGGATATATCGTTAGCAACACAGCTCAAATCTGGTTCATTTGTTTTGGAGATCGCATCAGCTTTCGGGTCCTGAATAGGACTGCTCGCAGCTTCATTGTCTATAGTCACGGAAAACAACGTCCCCATATCCGACTCTGTTTCTGGCACTTCCTCCTGACCTTGGTTAGGGTACCCCACAAACCAGGTAGTCTCAGATGGTATTGGTATTATCTCCTCCGGAAAATTTTCGGTGCTTCGACTGGGGGGCAGTCTCCTTTTCCTCCCAACTCCGCCCATTTCTTTCTTCTGCTCGTTCCGATGGATGAGTTGTTGCACAAAAAGAGGGTTTCTCAGAGCTCTGGCAAGGAAAACCATCATTTGTTGTTGCTTCCTCTCTGTACCTTGCAGCTGTTCTTCCATTCTCACGAGTTGCTTCCTGGACGTTTGTTGTTGGTGTCCAAGATTCACGATTTCCACCATTAACAGGTTCCAGTCCCCCTTCAATCTGTCGATTTCGTCTTCCGACCCACAGTGCCCCAATTCGAGACAAGGTCCTCCTGCTACTTGTTGTTGCATGTGCTGAGAGACGTTTCTTCTTCTCTTGATATTCTTCAACAAATGCTTCTGCCCTCCCAGAAAACCTTCATTCGCGAACTCCCATCTATCTGGATCAACCTTTCTAAAACCCTGCACCGTTTTCATCAATGGAACTTGTCAGTAGTGACCAGAATTAGTTGCAGTGCGGGATAAAATCTTCGTAAAATTAGCTGAAGACAAGAAGACGGGAGAAAATATAACAAAGGGGAAGAACAGAAGTCGTAAGAAGGTTACTACTTACGTATGTGAGCTGGCGAATGAAGCTCGAGAAGTTACAGTGCTTGAAGTATCTTGGAAGGAGGTTGGTGGAGAACTTATGGGAATCCCAAATAATGAAGCTATTGCGGGCTCTGCTCCAAGAGACAATGGAGCCAGTTGATGGATCCTCGATCATATCGTAGGTTTTGGTCAAGAATGGAGGAGGGCTGGTGTCGTGCAAACCCTCCATGGGCAGCGGAGGCAAAGCAGTACCGACCACCGTTACTTCCTCTTCCTTAATGATTACTCGTTCCATGGTAGTCTCTTGGTTATTCTTCTGTAATTCGAATTCTGTGGATGAAGAAATTAAATGGTGGATAGCCAGCAACAAGAAAGAGAGAGAGAGAGAGAGAGAGAGAGAGAGAGAGACTTGAAAATTTCAGTCCATTTGAACGAAGAAGCGAAATTTATGCCAAGGCAGACGTGACTCGATTCGTTGGACTTGGGACTTGGGAGCAGAGAGAGAGAGAGTGAATACATAAATTTTGGGAGATGGAGGTGGAAGCGATAGGTCTGGAGAGAGTGATTAGTGTCTCACAACTTCCACCTGTTTCGCCGTATTTCTCACAACTTTCTGCCACTTGTCCCCCTGAAGTTTGGGAAAATTTTAGCTGTCTAAATTCTGACAGCCTTGGCTCTCTTTAGGTTAGGGCTGCAAGTGGATCGAATTCGAATGTAAGTAAACCAATCAGTCCATCATCCCCTCGAGTTTTTTAACTCCCAAGTCCCAAGCCTAGCTTGGTGGCAATAGGCTGCATTTGGCATTTCTTTAAAAATTTAATGTTAGTAAAAACATTTTAAGTTGGGAGAAAGACGGTTCAGCTGAGGGTCAGAATTTTTAGGTCTAAAATATGATTGGGGTGAGTGCCAGGAATTGATATCAATTTATGAGCGGGCATTGATGTATAGAGTAAAGGTTTTTGATGTATAGAGTAAATTCAGAAATATGCATTGAGCCTGTCCTTACTTTTCTCTTTTAAGTTTTTAACTGTAAAATGGAAATAAATCTTTAAAATAAGGAATTCCAAATAAAATTGCTACAATGATTAGAGATTCAAGTCAACCACTACACTATCGGACATTATGATACCATGCAATACAAATGATTTGATTTTTTTACTCAAAAATGATTTCGGTACGTCATATCTAAGCAACTTAATTGGATAGCTAATGTAATCGTTTCTTGGTTACGTATCAATTTTTTCGTGATGTATCAAATTTTTTGGCTAAGTACCTCGTCAGTGATGCATGCTCCCAAGTGGTCTGTAACTCAGAGACTTAAGTGGAGTTCCCTAGTGGCGAGTTGTCTGGTAGCGAGCTACCTAGTGACAAACTGCCTGGTGGTGAGCTCCCTGGTGGTGAACTGCCTGGTGGTGAGCTCCCTGGTGGCATACTGCCTAGTGGTGAGCTCCCTGGTGGCGAACTGCCTAGTGGTGAGCTCCCTAGTGGCAAACTGCCTGTGGCGAGCTGCCGAGCTGACCAGGTGTCGAGCTGCCGAACTGACCAGGTGTCGAGCTAGATTTACGAGCTTCCTTGCTCTTTAGAGACCTGCAAGGAACCAAATGTCAAAGGACACGGGGTGGCTAATCCGACGAGGTCGCTCCGATGCTTAGGTCAGTACTCTCATAGTACATTGTGAGCTAAAAATCATAAAGTATGAGAGCTAGAATATGCTTAATTGCCTACTTGCCCTCTCCTTGCCCTTTGTGGTTGGTGCCTTTATATAGGCATTGTTTGGCGTGGGCTTCACGCACCATATCCGAGATTTCTGCGATGTCGTCTAAGTGGTTCAAGATTCCTGGAGGTAACCGCCACGCACGTTGACCACCCTCCAGATCGTTCGGCACGTGGACCAACTTCCAAAGATTGTGGGAGTGTTAGGATATGCATGCCGAATTCGTCGGTGAGCACGTCTTGTAAGTCGCCAGATCGGTGCCTGGGCCAGGTTGCCAGCTCGTGCTTGTGCCAAGTCGCGCCTGTGCCAGCTCGTGCCTGTGCCAGGTCACGCTTGTGCCAACTCGTGCCTATGCCAGGTCGCCAGCTCGCGCCTGTGCCAGGCTGCCAGCTCGTGCCTGTGCTAGGTCACGCCAGGGCCAGGCCGCCAAGTGGGACACCATCAACTTGGCTAAGGCAAGTTGTTGCCAAAGTGGTTTCGGGTGTCAGCAAGTTGTTCTGAGGTGCCAGATGTCACAATATCATTGGAGGGTGAAATCCGCCATCATCATTTGCCCCCCACTCCCGAGCCGAAAGTAACTCGGCGAAGGGAGTAGATTTCTCCTTTTGGCCTGGAATGAATAATTCGATGAGCTCGTAAGCGTCGATTCAATTCCTTAGGCTCTAAGAGCGGCTCGCAATCTACTCCTTGATTTTACCCATGTCGAAGGGGCGACTGGGTCTTATATGGTGAGGAGTTCTTCGCTAGTTCGGTATTTTGGCCCTTAGGCTTTGGGAGTGACTCATAGTCCACTCTCCTTGACTTTGCCCATGCCGAAGAGGCGACTAGGTCTTGTGACGAGGAAGCCTCTTATCAGTTCGTCAGTTCGCACCTGGCCAAGCCGCTAGGTCGGCGCCAGCACCAAGTCGGCGCATGTGCCAGGCCGCCAGGCCGCGCGCTGACCGTCGAGTGGGCGCCTTAGAGCTATGATTGTGTTGCATCAGCCTTATAATGCCGGTCACCCACTCCTACAAGAAGCTACTAGGAACTCGACCTTTGGGGGCAGCACTACTAACTTTGGGTCGCCAGCTCACACGGGAGCCTTGGAAGGCTCGACCAGCAAGGGCGCCCATGTAGTCTGTTGGCCGCCAACTCCCACGGAAGTCACAAAAATCTCATCTTTGTAGAGGGGACCTCACGAAGAGGACTAATGAGGTTTATCTGAATTAAAAGTAAAGTTGGTAGAGCTACTTAGTTTGTTAGCTCCCTCCATAGTTTTTGAGTTCATAAAAAATGGAAAGTATAAAGCGAGAGCTTTTGTTTCTAAGAAATGAGGACTTAGCTTTTTAGAGGAGGAGAACTTAGCTTTTTGTAGCGATTCCCACATACGGTGCCAAATGATGTAACCTTTCCTGGTCGCATATCAATTTTTTTGTGATACATCAATTTTTTGGCTAAGTACCTCGTCAGTGACGTCTGCTCCCAAGTGGCCTATGACTCAGAGAGTGAAGTGGAGCTCCCTAGTTGTGAATTGTCTGGTGGCGAGCTACCTAGTTGCGAACTGCCTGGTGGTGAGTTGCCTGGTGGCAAACTGCCTTGTGGTGAGCTACCTTGTGGCGAACTGCCTTGTGGTGAGCTACCTTGATGAGCTACTTGGTGGTGAGCTACTTGGTGGCGAACTGCCTAGTGGCGACCTATGGTGGTGAGCTGCCTGGTGGTGAGCTGCCTAGTGGCAAGCTGCCTGGTGGTGAGCTGCCTAGTGGCGAGCTACCTAGTGGCGAGCTGCCTGGTGGTGAGCTGACTGGTGGCGAGCTGCCTTGTGGTGAGCTGACTGGTGGCGAGCTGCCTTGTGGTGAGCTGACTGGTGGCGAGCTGCCTTGTGGTGAGCTGCCTTGTGGTGAGCTGCTTGGTGGCGAGCTACCTAGTGCCGAGCTGCCTTGTTGTGAGCTACCTTGATGAGCTGCCTGGTAGCGAGTTGCCTAGGAGGTGCCGAGCTGCCTGGGTGTCGAGCTGGGCAGGTTAGGTGACGAGCTTCCTTTCTCTTTAGAGTCATGCAAGGAACCAAATGTCAGAGGACCCGGGGTGGCTAACCCGGCGAGGTCGCTCTGATGCTTAAGTCAGTACTCTCATAGTACACTGCGAGCTAAAAATCATAAAGTATGAGAGCTAAAATATGCTTACTTGCCTACTTACCCTCTCCTTGCCCTTTGGGGTTGGTGCCTTTATATAGGCATTGTTTGGCGTGGGCTTCACGCACCATATCCGAGATTTCTGCGAGGTCGTCTAAGTGGTTCGAGATTCCTGGAGGTAACCACCACGCACGTTGACCACCCTCCAGATCGTTCGGCACGTGGGTCAACTTCCAAAGATCATGGAAGTGTTAGGATATGCATGCCGAATTCTTCGGTGAGCACGTCTTGTAAGCCGCCAGGTCAGTGCCTGGGCCAGGTTGCCAGCTCGTGCTTGTGCCTGGTCGCACCTGTGCCAGCTCGTGCCTGTGTCAGGTCGCGTCTGTGCCAACTCGTGCCTGTGCCAGGTCGCCAGCTCGCGCCTAGGCCAAGCCGTCAAGCCGCTAGGTGGGACACCATCAACTTGGCTAAGGCAAGTTGTTGCCAAAGTGGTTTCGGATGTCACCTATTTGTTCTAAGGTGCCATAAGTCACAATATCATTGGAGGGCCAAATCCGCCATCATCAATAACCACACCAAGGGTGATTTAATTTGGTACGTCCACAACAATACCCTATTTTGCATTCAAGAGTTTTGATGAAAACATAAGAAGACGCTTATCATTTAGGGTAGGGTTGCAAACGGACTGAATTTTATTATATAGACCCAAATTTGATTCATTGATATTCGAAATTGAATATGATCTTATCTATTGGATATATATAATATTCTACTAAAATTTGGTTTACAATCGCATTTGAATAGTATAAAAAAGGTAATGTTAAAATAATTAAAATATTATATATTATTAATAAAATAAATAAAAAATGACTTTAATATAGTTTTTCATGAACAAAATGAATTGAAAATTACTTATATGAAAGTTAAATACAACATTTATATCAACTTTGCTAATATATAAAATATAAAATTTTAATATATGTATATAAACCAATTGGATTATATCAAATTTATAGACATGAAATTATATTTGATCTAATTATAGACGGAAACTTTAATCACTAAAAATAAAATATTCTCTAAAAATATAAAAGTGAATAGATTATGTCAAACCAAACCCAACCGATATGATTGGATTGGAATAAGGTTAAAGTTAGAGTCAGGGTTTCAAATTTCAATATCACTTAATTGGGGTTAGTATTGACCTCGATCCGATGTTAGGGATGTAATTTAAGACAGGCTCAACCCAAGTCCAAACCAATCCATATTCGATCCCATCTATTAATAAATATACAACATTCAAACCAACTTTACTGTATTAATTGAAATCGAATTCAAATTTCAACAATCAATGAAATACTTTTGCAGCCCCAAGCAAGGAAAGCCTAACCTTTCAAGTATCAACCCTTTGGTTTTGGAGACTTTTAACAAATTTCTGAGATCGGCAATCCTGTTTCCAAATTTATTAATGTCCCCGAGGGCTGTGGAGTTAGAAATCGGATCTGCACCTCACACCAACCTCACAGGTACATCCCACTATACATTCGAAATATCAAGCATCTCTTATGTATTATTATTTACGGGAGATATTTCTAATGCACGGTGGGAATAAGTGGGATGCGCAAGCAAGTGAGGTCGTTGTGAGGCGCCCTGTGTGAAGAGCAGATCCCATCTTATGGAGGAGACCGGATCTATTCTTCACACATGGCGCCTCACACCGACCTTACAAGCACATACCACTGTATATTAGAAGCATCTCCT